ACGTTAGTTCTAAGGTGACGGTTTGCTCATGGAACACGTTAATCAACTATCGGAATATTCCTTAAGAAATGGTGGGCTAGACTGAAGCAAAAAATGATTCAGCCGAGGTTTGAACTCGGGACCTTCAGTGCACAACATGATGGAATTTTGATATTCCAATTGTTAGACTGACGTGATAACCAACTACACCACCGAACCATTTGGTGACTACATTGTTTAATTTCAATAAATATATAATATAAATACAACAAAACGTGTTCATTGCATTGTTCACTGCCCTTGACAAAATTATGACTTTGCAAATATTTCTAAGATCGGTGGGGCAAGTAGGGTACTTATCGATACGAAGCAAGTTTACCGTTCCCCTTCTTATGTCCGGACTACTTCTCCCACCAGGTTAAGGTGTATTATATGGAGAAATTGAAAATCTTTTCTTAAGAAAGTATTCGACACTATCGAAACATCTATAGGCAGTAGACCTTCTTCTAGTGTGTAGACGGAATTTGGTAAAGGGGTACGTAGTGATAACGTAAAACGAAGGAGGTGAAGATGCTTCATCTGGAACAGAGTACCTGGTTCCAACCCCTTCTCATATCTTATAATTATGAAGGATATGTCTTTATAGGCTGGACTCAACTGACTGGAATCTATATTTGTTACTCTATCCCTCTCCATAACTTTAATCTTTCTTTGCGCTTCCCTGCTCCAATTTTTCAAAAATTTCCGGTGCAGTTCGGTCTGCATTGTAGGCCTCTTTTCTTCCACATACGACCAAACAGCGGTATCTATTGTAGGGAATCTAATTAATCTAAAATATAGCTTGAAGGTATATATTATCTTGATTGTTTTTTGGAGATCTGTTTAAATATCAATACGCCTACTGATAAAAGCATATCATGTTGCGGATACCTTTCTCTACCGACATGGATAAGACAGGTGGGAATTATACGGAAAACTTATGTTTATGCCTTAGTATCCTCTCTAGGTAGGCCGTTCTCTTTCGTTTTGACACATCTGTATGCCGCCACAGTTAGCAGACCTGCTTATGCATTCCAGGTTCCCATCTGCTTCAGGACTTGGTTCGTGGTAAGCAAGTTCTGTAACTGTTTCTTGAGTGTCGCTTTTACTACGATCAGTAAGTACTGTTGGTGCTTCGTCGTGGTTGCGATAGTGTTTGTTTGGTGGGAATTGTATTCATTCCCTGTCAAGGGGGACCTCCCTCTCGACCACCATCACGGTTTCAGGGGTACATTTCGCAGCTAGAGATTGCTCTGAGGACCATGGATGATGTGTTTGATGATATTCGGTCGCAATTGTGGTTCTAAAAAGAAAAAGAAATATGCCTGAATCGCATAATTATTGATATCGTGTTCAGCATCCGCTTCCTACGCCTTCTCACTCGGTATAATAAAGAGTATATTAACGCCGTATACGTCCCGCTGTTTTTTTACAACTCCATCCGTCCTTGCCTAAAAACATCAGAATCGTTGCTACATATCAAGAAGATCCAAAGAAATTCATACAAGAAGGCAAACCAAAGGGATATATATCGAGCCAACCTTCCGAAATCCCTTCACAGCATATTAAACCCCACGAAAGAAATAAAAGGGTATCCAACCGCCCTCACCATCCATGCATCGCAGTGTAGTAGCCTCAGTCCCTATTAATCACCCTTAAACTCCTCCTAGGATTCAACAACACTCCCCTACTCCCCCAAAACGTCGGTTCTTGACCCTCCAACAGATCCTCCGTACTACTATCACTCACTTCATCCCCCCTCGTCTCCGCGCTTCTCCTCGCTCCAGCACCCACTCCACCAGCCCCTCCCGAACTTGTCCCCGCCCTCTCACTCTCCGTCGTACTGGGGAAAAGCATCAAATCCGGCCTCCGCTCACTACTATTCTTCGCACTCGAACTGCTCGTGCCGCCCACACCCGCAACACCCGCTGCGCCCACACCCGCGGCTGTCGTGCCGCCGAGAAGACCCAGTCCGTCTTTTTCATTGTTGACCGAATTGGGATTTTGCGCGGAGCGGCTCGCCATAGCAGCATGCTGTTTCCACAGCATGACCTGCTTCCTATAGATCCATGCACAAAACGCCATATACGCCGCGACGAGAAAAAACACGCCCGCAATGACGCCCGCAATAATAGCGCCGATATTGGGCCCCTTGTGGCCCTTGTTCTGGCTGGCATTGGGGTCTGGAGATGCGGTTTGGGTGATGATGGCGCCGTCAGCGCCGGTGACGGTGTAGGTTAGGGGTTTACCAGTTGCGAGGGGGCCTTCGGTGGGAGTTTGGACGGGAGCGGTGAGAGTGGCGCCGCCGGTGGCTTGGCCGCCGATGACGGATTGAACGGCGGCGGGGACGGCGTAGCCGTAGCTGCCTTCGAGGCCGGCAGAGGAGTTGAAGCCGCGCTGGTTGGCTTGTTGGCCGAGGGGGTTCGCGGTGTTGTCGTTGTGGCTGTCGCCGCTCCATTGCTCGGTTGCGGCGAGGCCGGTTAGAGCAGTGAATTGCGTGGACCATTCTAAGCTGGACATGTTGAAGACGTATATTCCTGGGGAGTCGCAAGAGAGGTTTTGGCCGACGTAGCCGCCGACGACGATCATTTGGCCGTCCCAGACGTTGCACGTGTGGCCGGCGCGAGCATAAGGGACGGAGTCCTGTGTGTCGACCTTGATCCAAGTAAAGCTGGGGACGGAGAGAATCCACATGTCATCGTACTGAATTTGTTCCTTGTATGGCACGAGGTTCTGCCCACCGAACATGTAGACGTTGTAGGAGGAGCCACTGGCGGAGTCAGCAAGGTTGAGCAACACGGACAAATATATGCCCAAATAAATACACCGGGACTTACTCCGCAGCTGCAGCTACAGTAGCACAAGGATTAACGCGGTACTCCGGAATCTTTCCTGTAGTAGTCTGTTTATACCATGTAGAGCTGGCGATATCGTAGACATCGATAACATTCATTTGGGTCTAGGAACGTTTTAGTGTGATTTCAAAGAAGTATATGAGCATGGAAACTTACGAAAGTCCTATCAGTACCACCGGTAAGACCTAGCAGAATACCCTCTTCACCAAAACCGGGAATATAGACAAGCAGCCCATCCGCCCGCTCAGTGAAGCCAGCCTTTTCTTGCAATCCACCCTCTGTGATGTTTCTCCACACGCCGTCTGAGCCAGCCTTTTTCCCATCTGATAGGGACTTAACGGCCGAATTCGAGAAGCCAGGGAAGGTAAATTCAAGCAAGCTCTTCAGATAAACACGTTCCACTTGGTTACTCCACCCCTCAGTGGTCAAAAAGTCCAGATGGCCACCGAAATACCAGCCCCGGCCCAAGGTCGAAACACTAAAGCCAGCTCCTTCGGCCGCACGCTGGATGGGTTGACCGTCGCCTTCAGAGAGCACACCCTCGGAGCTCTTCGGATTCTGATGTTCGATCCATTCCTTTTTGGCGATGTTGTATTCCCACATCGAATTCGAACTGGGCTTCTCCTCGGGATCTTCCGAAAATTCCCCGCCATATAGATACAACGAGTCATGGGAGTTCCAGAGGTAACCGTTGGAGACTTTCGGTGGCCCTGAAGGTCTTGGGAGGCCAGTGAGAGAAGGACTACTGATTTGCCATGATTTGGTGAGGTCGATGCTTAGGAAGTCGTTATCTGGAGAGCTGTTAGTGGGAGAGGGGAGGAGTTAGCAGAGAAGAAGACATACTCCACGTGTTGCTAGTTTGCTTCGGATCCGTGCTCGCTCGGCCGCCGTAGATGTACAGAGTGCCGTTGACAATTGCAGCTACGAATGTCAGCATTGTACCCAATTCCAGATATTGCGTTCCAAGGACCTACTCTGGTGGCTCCACCTCGTGCAAATTTCAGTAGGGGTGTCTTCTCGTTTCACGACACCATAATTCCCACTGGATTCGATCAGTTCGCTTGGTATGGCACGTCCTCTCACACCCAATCCCTTTATACAACCAGTCTGCATCACCGGCAGTAGCAACGCAAGCACCAGCGCCAGTATCCCTAACCGATGGATACGTTGAAGTGCATATGTGCGTCCGTTTGAATATAATTTCATCGTTGATAGAGAGCCATCGCACTCGTCGCAGTCCGAATCAGAGCCCTCCTCCCAATCACTCTCCGAGTTTTCACCATCCTCGCCTTCCTTTTCTCCGCCGAATATACTATCGCGGCTGCGGAACCGCACTGTCCGGACAGGTTTTCGCAATCGGGCCGGAGACGGTTCCGGCTGTAGGAGAGCTGGTGCTGGGCTGCGTTCGCTTCGGACCGTTTCTTCGTCCGTCAAGCCAACTTCGATGAAGACGGATTTGCGTCGCACCGACGACGAAAAGGCGGGTTTCGGTCGTACTCGCTCCATAATGTGATTGAAAGCGAGCCTGGAAGGCCGCACTGTGTTTTGGAGATATTGCAGTTTAAAGCTTGGAGAAGAAATCGGGAAAGTGACGTCGTCGTGATAAGAATATGAATTGCGGGTCTTGCCGATATATGGAAACTAATAAGAAAATGCTAATAATGGACTGGGATAGAGCACTGATTGGGAAAGGAAGAGACAGGGCAGTGACCGAACTGCTGAGGGACAAATGTAGATGAGATGCAACGAAACCGTAGATAGATTTCTAATGGTGAAAAGTAGCACGGGGATGAATTGGTAGAGATGGTGACAACGGCGCAGTACAGCGACGCGGCCATCGAGGGACACGGCAGACCATATGAGCCGACATGGTTGGTCCATTCAGACCCCCTTGTTATTGAGATTTCCCTGTTCAGTGCCTGAAGTTGCTGTTGCACTCGGTTCGCGGGGTTGGGACAGGAGAGATGAGAGACAGACGTCATGCGTTTCTGCAACAGGGAACGATGTGCAGTGACATCCGCCAAGGACACCAATCTTCGACAGCAACTGGCTGTCGGCCTTCCGCCGCTAGAAACGTCAGAAAAGGGTTTGCCAGTCTAGTGAGGTTCATGAAGAGTCCCTTAATTTATGAAGACATGTGAATAGGGTGCATTCCATCCAGTGCTTTGTGTTTCACATATAAACAATAGACTCAATGCTTCAAGTAATACTGCCGCGACAGAGCGCTCTGGTTCAACGGATTTCAACCCGCTAGAGAATTTTTCTTCAGATGATTCTCTAGTGGAAGGCAATAGTTCAATGTCGTGCCGACTTCTATTCTAACGA